GGGCTCCCCCCGGCAAAGCATTGGATCCATATAATGTCGAATTGTTAGAATCCAATTATAAATCTAACTACTTTGTTAACTGGAGTGATTAAGAACTTAGATAAATACCTCCTGCAATTTCAGCTTTATTTTCAATAATTTTTGAATCCACTATATAGAGTTCTTCTTTCTCAGATGAATAATAAATTGCACCTCCAAAATCTGCAACATTATTTTTAAAAATGCAATCTTTTATTATAGCATTAATTCCAATTATCAAAAGTGGACCTCCATAGGATGCAGAGTTATTGAGAAATTAACTTTATTTTATAATCAACTAATATTTCATGTTATTTAAAAGTTTTTCGTAATTGTGTTATTACAACATTCTATAATTTAGTGCAGGGTTTTAAATAAGTAAGTCATTTTTATTTTTAGATATTGAAAGACAACCATTCCTTCCACAGTTACTATTTTTTATCAAAATTTAAGAAAGCTTAATATTTTCTGTATCTAATTGTTCGATTTCAGCAATTCTAATCAAACCAAATTAACATTTTGTACATTCTGCACCTCTAATATCAATTTTCTCAATTTTTAATTTGTGCACAACACTAATTTATTCAATTTCAATTAAACTAAATGTAAATGAGGGATCCTTAAAAATTTTAGCTTAATTACAAATTAATTGATTTAAAATTTATTAATTATTAATATGTTCTGTAATTTAAGTATTTAATTGAGTCAATTTGAGGGGACAATCTAATTACTAAAAAAATACTGAATTCATTGGTAGGCATTCTCTTTTTTCAGTCATTGAAAATTGTTCCACTTAAGTTATTTAAAGATCATATATTGATAATTTTCCAGCATATTCTAAGAATATCAAAAATATTATTACATTATCTTAAGTTTAATTGGAAGAGTGGTGAAAATCCAACTGTGCAATTGGTAATCTTTATATTTGACAACAATATGTTTTACGCTTGTACAATTTTAAGTAAAAATTACATATAAATGGATTTGAATTTACAATTATATAAGCTAAAATTTCCAAATTGAACAAAAATCAAAGGATTTGATTGAATTATGTTGTAAGCATCATCATCAGTGATACCATCTATTTATGAATAAAAATTTTCGAGTCCTTCTTTTGTTGAAAGGAATTCTATATTTTTAAAAACTATCTATGATTAAACGGTATCTTTTTTGGAGAGAACATATGAGAAAAATTAATTTGATATGGAAAAGCAATCCTTTACAAATAATTAATCAAACTCAATTATATTAGAAATTTCAGACGGATTTATATAAATTGCACCACCATCGTATCTGCTTAATGATGTATCGAATGTAACATTCTTAATCTTTAGAGTTAATGTTGATTAACATGCATCAATATAAAAACAGCCACCTTTTGAAAAATACAAGGAGGATAGCGTTGTTTTAGTATTTGAAAATTCTGAATTTTTAATATTAATAATGCTAATTCCAGATGTAATTATATAAAAACCTCCTCCGTAAATAGAAAAAGAGGAGTCTACCTATATATTTTCAATCTCTATTGAATTTGAAATAATCATACCATTGCCGCTGCTTGATTTAATTGGAAATATCAATTG